AAGCCATTTCATTGAGAAGAGCATTCAAGACAAGCATGTCTACAAGTTTCTCAATGACTTAAAAGAAACAGCAAGAGTCCTCCTCCCTAACCCAAGGCTCACATCCATCACCATGAAGAGCAACTTCAGCTTCAATCCAAGTGATGATCAGCTCTACAAAGGCGGCCCTGTTCCCGAAGATGGAGAAGAAGCTAGTGAGGAAAACGAACAAGAAGAGGTTGAAGAAAAAGTTAGAGAAGAGAGAAGAGAAGAAGGTGAAGAAGAAGTCCAAGAAGATGCTACTGCTGGCGCTGAAAGCCAGGGGGAAACACAACAAGAAGAAGAGGAGCTTGATAAAGAAGAAGTGTTGAACTACAGCTCAAGGCAGTTCCATTTCAAACCTTATGGAGGCCCAAGCCAAGAAAGCTCTATGAAGTCTACTCATGAGCACATCAACATCCTTCAAAAATGGTGTAAGTGGCAAGACAAAGCCATTAAGAAGTTGATGAAAATGGTTAAAAAGAAGTTCAAGATGAACAAAGCCACATTAGGAGGAGCTTCCCATCAGAGCCACACTCATGAGTATACCTCTCATCAAGCAGAGCCTATGCCACAAGCTAACCCAACTGAAGAGGAGGAGGCTGTTTGGAACACTCATGGAAGACATTCCCTTCATGCACAGCCAAGTGATCAATGGGGGACATGGGCACAACCAAGGGCTTCATCATATGAGCCAAGGACTCGTATTCCATCAGCATGGGAAGTGCCAACTCCCATCCCTTCTGAGGTTCAACAATCATAGCAATGGGGTAATCAAGGTACTTCTTCTCAAGCTGAGCAGTTATGGTCAAGTTGGGTTCCCCCACCACAAGAAGCAGCGCCATCTTCAAGGACTTATGAAAGGAGGAACAAGAGGAGAGCTAGCAAGTCTTCTCAGACATCTGGATCCTCCCACCACTCCACTTATTAAACAAGGTACCACATCCTATTCATTGTCTATACCATTGCATTTTTTTTCAATTCTGTATTATATTTTGTTACTTCTCTCTCTCTCATTGCTTTCATTACACAAGGGACTGTGTAATTTAAGTGTGGGGGAGAGATTTGGGATTTGACTTTGTGTTCTGTTTTCTTAGTTTTTCATTTTCTTTCACTTTGAGTCACATGCATATCATGCATTCATCTAAGGCATAAAAAACACAAAAAATTGAAAAATTTGAAAATTTTTGCATTTTTGCAAACCAAAAAAAATGCATATAGTTGCATTTTATACTCTTAGGATTGAGTCTAGTGTTGACATATAGATTGCATTGCATTTGCATAGGGCATAATGATGAAATTTCCTTGTAAAGTGCTTAGAGTTTAGAGATGATTTCAGTGTTTAAGTGATTAGTTGTTTGATGCATCATAAGAAAACTAGAAGTTAAGACTGAACCATGCTTGGAATGCTAATTTTGATCATCTCATCTCATACTGAAAGCATTTGTTCTCTGAAAATCAACTCTATCAACTTGAACTTTAATTTGGACTTTTAATTATCATGTCTTATGCATTGAAAAGTGAATTCATGGCTACCATATACATATTTGGATCATCTTTTTCCTTTTTACCACTCTCGTTAATCCAAGTAGCTGATTCTCATACTTATGGGACAGTTAATCCACTCCCTTAACAAAAACCTTCTTTTGAGCCTTAACACTATCTTGAAAGCTGTGAGGCCTTTGCATATGATTTTTGATTTTGTCTTGGCAAAAAATGTTAGGAATAAGGCTGGCAATAATAAGCTCTCTTGTAGATATCAGCTTGCATCTTGAGCTTAATTCTAGGATAGGAGTTTTGGGTTAAAAGGGTAGTATTAAGTGGTTTAAACTTTATATATATATATACATATATATGATTTGAAAGAAAAGGAAAAAGTTTGAAAATGGTAGAAAAGGGGAAACAGTTTAGCATTGTGGTTAAGTAAAAGGAAGTAAAAGCTCTAAGTGTTTAGAAAGAATGGCGCCAGCAACTTAAAGGTTTTGAAGGGTCAATCCAAAGAAGAAATCAGACCCAAAACAATCCACCAAAGGTGATGAAGGTGCCAATGCAACAAAGAAGAGCAAGTCCCAACCAAAAAGAAGCAGCCACACAAGCAAAAAGAAGAAGTTTCGCCAGCCATGAAGAAGGGTAAAGGGTAGAGTTTAGGAAAAGGGTAGACTTAGGGGTTCACTTTGGGTTTTAGAAGTGCTTACGATTCATCTTTGGGTAGAAGGGAGCTTTGAATTGCATGCATAAGTGTGCTTTTACCTTTAGCATTTTGCCTAAGATGGAATCATTTTCATTGAGTGATCCCTTATGTTTGAAAACCCTTTGCTTGAATGAGATCATTTTTATCTCATAACCTTACCCTTTGAACCAAATGTCTTCACTTGATTTGTATAAGCATGATTCATGTTCTGAGCTTAATTGAATGTTAAAGAGTTGATTGATTTGAGCATTTGCCTAAGTTTAGATTTGAGGTAATTTTGAAACATGATGAGCATGGCTAGGTTCTTTAAAGTATAGCTGATTATGTTTGCATCTCACAACTAGGAACTTAAGCGTTGATACCATCTCTTTACCTTTGCATTTTTGGATTTGAATGCCCACCTTCAAACCTCACTCTCTCATTTGTTCTTATTTTCCTGAAGACTAGCAAAAGGCAAGTGTGGGGGTGTCGATATCTCTTGTATTGACACCATTTAAGCTTGCATTTAGTTCATTTTTTGGTTCTCTTTTGCATGTTTTCCTTATCTTCTGTCCCATTTTCTTCTCTTTTTAGACTTAGGTTGCATTTAGGATATAGTTTGCATTTTCTATGCATTATGGATGTTTTTAGGTACTTATGAGCTAAGAGGAGCTTTGGAGAAGCTTTGGGGATGATCCAGAAAGCTAGCTGGGCCAAGAGGAGCAAAATGGACCAAGGCAGACGATCTCTGCTGAGCCTATCGATCAAGGCACAAGACCTATCGGTCAAGGAGTGACCGATAGGTTTCCTATCGACCAGGCCTATCGGTCAGTGAAGTGACCGATAACAGTGCACTGTTTATATTTCGGTCATCCTATCGGTCATCTTCCAGACCGATAGGATCCCTATCGATCATTCCTATCGGTCACAACTGACCGATAGGACCCCAATCCGAGCCTTTTTTTATTACACTTTTGCCATTACTTTAGGACTTCCTTCTTTTATGTATAAATACCCTTTTCTGGGATTTTCGACAAGTCACCTCATAACACTGTTCTTGAGTTTATTTTCTAGGTTTGTAAGACAAATTTCTTGCTTTATTTAATATAAGTTTGTATTTGCCATTAATCTTTTTCTAGTCTCTCTTTTAATCATGATTAACATCATTTCTTCTTGTGATTTGGTGTTAAACATGAGAATTAGTGAGTAGTTTGCTTAGGATTCTTAGATGTGGTAGATTAAGGGGATTTAGGGATTGATTATGGTTTGTTTAGTATTTAATTTCATAGGTTCCTCTCTATTAATCTGTTTCTAAGCTAGATTTGTCTTGATCACACTTATCTAGAATTTAGGCTTTCTCTTATGCCCACCAAGTGTTTGATGAAATTCTGATCTTGTTTAATGGAGGATTTGCTGGCATTGGCTCAAGAGATTGACTGTTTGATGAGCATTTTGATATAAATAGAGTTGGTTGTTATTGCTTGTTAAATGTTTTAGCACTAATGAGAGTTAGATCTTGCTAAGGTGTTTAACAAAGGGATATTTTACAAGATATTGGACTTAGCTTGCTTGTTTGTGAACTCTATGTCTAGCAACCACCATTGCTAACTTGTTTGCTTGATCAATGCTGTTTGAAACAACCTTACTTAGTCTCTAGATTCCCCAAAATCAATAACCACATCTAGGAACTTGCTTTCTCTTTATTGAATTTCGAATTTGCTTAGTTCTCTGTTTATTTTGCTCTATTTTACTTCCTTGATCATAGCTAAACTGTCTTCTTTTGAATTCTCTTTGGTGATTGATCATTCTAGATTGTTAGATTAGTTGCTTAGGCAAAAAAAATCTCTCTTTGCTTTGCTTGACTTAAGGATTCCTACTCACAACTCTTTTGCTTTCAACAAAACCCATTTGGATTGACATAAAACCCTTGCTATACTACAACCATTTTTCTCAATAATGGCAATATAAAGTTGATATTCGATGACTTTACTCATTAACCAGATAATATATCTGTTTTAATATGAAGTATATAGATAAACTAAAATAAGATTATTTATTATACTTTTTAATAGAGTCATGTTGTTTACCTCCACATGTTATGAAAATAGACAATAATATACTCACACACATTTGCAAATATATTCAAGTAGTTTATCATGCCAGATGGATGAAGACATCAGAATAACTTCTCAAAAAAAGGGATCGATGTGATTTCAGTTTGTTGATATATGAAAATAAATTGTAGAAAAACATCAAAGACCAATTGAATAGAGATAAACAATTATGACATATATAATACTTATTGCCACGTATAAATATATGAGAAAATTTTGAAATAATTAATACATCACAATCTATATCAAGAAATATTTTTTACAATATATATAAGTAATATAAATGAAAATAAAATATAACACATTATATAATACTTCTTTCTCATTGTTTTTTCTATTTTTTTATTAATTCCGTGATTTTGGTAGTTTTATTGATTAAAGTTAACTATATAAATATAAATTTTAAAATATGTTTTTAAATCTCATATTATTTAACTATTGATTTAAACATGTACTTTCAAATCCATTACTATTAAAAATATTTTTAAGTAGTAGACTTGAAAAGGTTCCGAATGATTCAAAATTTTAAGTATTTTGATGGAATTTATTAGTTAAAAATATATTAAAAAAAAAAAAATCTCATAATTTTAAGTAAGATTTTCATAAGAGTTTCAATAACAAATTGTAATACTGTAGCTTTCAAAATTCAGTATAGTTTGACTATCAAAAAAAAGTAAAACACCAAAACTGTAGCTTACATGAACGTTTAGGTGTTTTCCTTTTTTTTTCTGCCGTTGACTACTCTTTGACTCACTCTTACCATATCTTGTCCCGTTATAGTACTATTCTCTGATTTATTGAATCAATTTCTCGAATAACCATCTTGTCTCGTTGATCCGAATTTGCTCCCGAATTTGTTCCAACAATTTTACTCTGAGACGATGACCGAAGGATTTTGGCGCGGCGGCGACCGCGTTGAGGTGTTGCGACTCGTTTCCGGCGCGGCGGCTTATTTCCCGGCGAGTGTGGTTAATGCGCCGTCTATGAGAAAGAATCTCGTCTGGGTCGAGCACGAATCCCTAATGGTCGGAGGCTCCAAACGCATGAAGGAGTACGTGCACCCCACGCGCATCCGCCCATCTCCGCCGCCTTTCGAAATCAGCCGAAGCTTCGTGGCCGGAGACGAGGTCGACGTCTTCATAGACAGCGAAGGTTTCTGGGTTAGAGGCAAAGTGACGGCGAATCTCGGAAACTCAAAGTACATTGTTAGGGTTAAAGGCGGAGATGGTACGGAGACGGAGGCTAATCGCTTAAACCTGAGGCTACATCGTGAGTGGGAAGAAGGAAACTGGGTTCCATCTCTTGAATCGAAGACCAAAACTATCAAACTGAAGATAAAATTCAGAAGGAGATACGAATTTGAAAAGGGTTCTATATGAGCCAGGGGAAGAAGTTGATGCTTGGTTCAACCAACGTTGGTGGGTCGGTAGGGTTTCAACAGTGGTCGAAAGAGGTTCTAAGTTTTTGGTTTACTTCATCTCCTCTGGTGAAGAACCGACGATCCCACATTTCAATCTGAGGCCTCACAAAGAGTGGATCAATGGACAATGGACTAGTCCTAACAAGGAAGATCCTCCACTAAAGAAGCGGAAACCTTGTGAGAGAGCAGAGAAAGTGTTTAACAAACAATGGAGTAGTAGTAGTCTTTACAAGGAAGATCCTCCATTAAAGAAGCTAAAACGTTGTGAAATAGAAGAGAAAGTGTTTAGCAATGGAACGATGGTTGAAGTTAGAAGCGATGAGCAAGGCTACGAAGGCTCATGGTACACTGCGAAGATCATAAGCTACTTGGGGGAAAACAGATACAGAGTTGAGTATCAAACGCTTACAACAGAGGATCTTAAAGAGTTGTTGAAAGAAGAAGCAAGAGGTTCGGACATAAGACCTAATCCTCCTCAAAGTGCTTGTGATCGATATGAGCTGAATCAACCTGTGGATGCTTGGTATAACGATGGATGGTGGTCTGGTCGAGTCTATAAGATAAACAGCGACTACACAAGATATGTTGTCTACTTCGAAACGACTGATGAGAGATTTGTGTTTGGTTACAACGACGTAAGGCCTTGCCATGTCTGGAGTAAAGGAAAATGGAGTCGTGCCTAAGATTAGGAAGAAGATGATATCATGATACTGTGGTGTGATTAAGAGTATAGTTAACGTGACTTGTGTTTATGAACTTGTTCTTAATGTTTTTAACACGTCGTTTTTGTTTTGTCATTTACCTTTTTGTTGTGTCTAACTTTAACTAAAACTACCTTAACAAATGTTTTGTGTTTTAGCCTTCAAAACTTACCTTATAAAATATGGATCCAATAGTAAAAAAAAAGGATTTAAATTTAAATATATCGAATTATGAAAGCTAAAACCACTTTTGCCACTATAAGAAGCCACAAAATCAGCAGCTGAAACACATTTCATGAGCTTTATCATATTCAGGCATATACCCATAGAGAGCAATAGAGTAAAAGATCAAACAACATGTTGAGTGTTTTAAGACAGATGCCAATTTCATACATGACCTTAACTCATGAGTTTCAAGATTCAAAGCAAAGCTACACGAGACCTGAAGATAGAAAGAAACACTCTGATTGGTACTAAAAATCGTCTTGGACCTACATGAAACTTGGGCAAGCTGGACCTTTGGAGAGACCAAGCCGAACTTCCATGCCGTGGTGAAAGTCTACTGGCCTGAGCGTCTCGGATTCACGAGGATCTGCGGATTATATACTTATTATCAGAACAGAACAACCGATAAAATGATGAAACACTAAGAAAAAATATACAAGTTGAACACTTTGCTCTTGTGAATAGAACATTCTATACTAAACTGAGAATTCAACTTTCTGCAAGAACAATGATAGTTTACACAATGCGAGCAGTAAACAACTCTATTGGTGTCTGGTGTCGTATGATCTAAAGAGTAGAGACTGGAGTTGGAAAAACATTTACCATTTAAGTAATCTTCGAAACCAAAATTATCTACAGCTCCTGTGTAGACTTCTAGGCCAAGCATTGACGATGGAATCGGTCCAGGAGGTCTCTGAAACCTGAATTACTCCAAAGAAAGAAGTATGTGAATATCTTTAAACTCAATGTAGTCTGCAAATCTAAAGAGTTTTCAATTTGCGTTTAGAGTTCAAAATTCCAATATAATCATTACAATGTATATAATACACTAAGAGATTTAGTTAACTGTTCAATTCACCAAAGAAAAAAGCATGTGCATATCTTCAAACTCTATGTAGTCTGCAAATTCTAAAGAAATTCCAATATGCGTTTATGGTTCTGTGTACTAATATAATCATTACGGTATAGACATTTTTAGTAGCAACTAATCTAATCTTTTATAGGATGCAAGAACTAGAAAAACCATATCTCAATCTATAGAACCCAGAATGAAAATTTTCATACATACTCATATCTAACAAACAGTATGCATCAAGAAATTTGATTTCATAAAGCTCAAGATTCAACATCCCATACCGTGAAAGGATTTGTCTATCAAGATCCATCTTCAAAGGAAGAGCAGCTCCATAGGTATGTGCAATAACTTGCCTCTTCATTTCTTCTTGCGATTTCTTTCCCTGAATCAAAACAAAAAAAAAGCCCTAATTTCAGAAACTGAGCGTTAGAGCCCCCCAATTACTTGCCGAATTTCTCCAATAAAGAAAAAAACAAACGGGAAATTTCAATTTTGAAGTCGTAAATAAAAGACACTAAGTTTAATTCTTAGCTAACTTCGATATAAAAACATGAAAATTAGATAATGGGAGTTGATTACAGATTCGTAGGATGACTCGAGAGGGTGAGATCCAACGATATTGCTCTTAACGCCGTGAAGACCGAAGCGAAGAGCATCGTTCTTCACACCACCGATCTCGTGAGCTATCTTCTTCGGCGACTTCATTAATCCTCCTTATTAAATTCGTCTCCGTTGTACGTTGTTCTCTCGTGCTTTAAACTTTCTCTGCGACTTTCTGGGCAAGCAAGCAAAGCAGGGACGAATGAGAAAATCAGAAAAAGGATGAAGAAAGAATGTTTTGTTATGTTTAGACTGTTTAGTTATGGACTGTAAAAGAATGATTTAAGAAAAGCTCGAAACTCTTAAGGCCCATTTAGACTTTCTTTTTAACAAGCATTGCTTTTTTACATTTCTGGTAAAACTGGCTGTAAAAGAGTTCAAATTTTGGTAAAGAATTTTGGTTCGGTCCAGAGAGGACACGGTCGATGATCCGTAAAACCACGGTGCTGAGATTAAATAAAAAAAACACTTGATGAATTTGGTCAAAGACGGTTTATACAAATTGGGTTTTGGTATATGTATATGTACCTGCTCAAGTTTGAGAGCTCGTAATTTAGGAGTCTCTGAGAATAGACATAAGTATATTCAACCACTCTTTATTACATGTGCATAGCGTTAAATGCACAAGACGTTTGAAGACAGTACCAACAGGATACAAATCCTGCATATAAATACAAAGACATGATTGTGAAAAACAGAGAAGATAGAGACTTTGCTAATTATAGTTAATTAACAAGAAAGTAGTACCTTTGAGGTTGATAAACACATAAAGAGACGCTTGACTGAAGTAATACAACTCAGAAACTCATCAGGATGAGGATAAGTAACGTCAACGTTTGCCTCAACAATGTTAGGCATTTCATTCTCAATGACACAAAAACCCACTCTTATGATCATTAATGTCCAAATATTCCAAAGAAGGAGCATTTATCTCAAACCCATCTTCACCATCTCTATATTTGCTCGCTAAGTTAGACAAGACTAACCTCTTTAGAGAAGGAACTCTCACGGTGAAAACAGACACATTGTCATATTGGCTTCTTTCAGTCTTCAAGTCTTCAAGAACATGACAATGGGATAAAAGACTGTAGACAAATTGTTCATGAGGATACACAACAGATAAAAGACTCAAAGTTTTGAGAATGGGGAAAGACACCGGAGATGAAACATGGGAAAGAACCACGTTATTTAGTTTCAGCGTCACAAGCATCGTACACCCTGTGTACAAAATCCTTGGAACTACGGATGGAGATTCACTAAAAGAGCTGTCGAATTCGAAAATTAGCTCACGCACAGAGCACTTACTCGCAGCTCTAATCCACACTCGGATATCTTCAGCACCAGAGATTTCACAAAGTTTGAAATGCAAGCTCTCTATCACTGGGGCCTCATGCAGAAGCAGATACCTGTCTACAAGACTACAAGCCGCGAGAACTTTTTGTGCTCAGTGTCCTGATAGCTATCCTCGTATACGAGTCTTGGCACTAACATCCAAAGAAACTTCCATCGTTTTGATAAAACCATTTTAACCACAACACCTTTAGCACTGGGCAGTAAAGACATTACTCTCAAGAGTAGAGTATGAGGCAGCTCACTTATCCAGTCCATAAGAGATATTCCCTTTTTCAAATCCCTACCACCTGAAAAACATACGAACAAAGGGGTGTGAGATTCTAAGTGTGTGGTTTTCTCAGGGGCCAAACAAATATCCACTATAAGCAACGACGCAGGATCAAATCAAAACCCTAGCAAGGTCAAGCAAACTCAATCGAGCGCTCAGGGTAAAAACCTAGCGATGTCATGAAGTAACTCATACAAAATCAATTGAGTCGGAAGAAGTTCATAGTAAATACCTGAAAACCCTAAGCAGTAAGCACCTCTCCGATGATTCTGGTTCAACGGAGAAGATGAATATCTTTTTAGATACTGACACCAATTCCTCTTCAAATAATTAAGCGGTGCAACTTCCCAAATTTCATCAATGCTTCAGATTCCATGGACACACAGAGAATCTATATATGTGACTTTAACCCTAGGGCTTTCCCGCTTCTTTTACGCCCAAAAAAAGTAAGGGTAAAATACATAAAATTGAATTGTCTTTGTGTAATGGATAAATAGGAGTGACCCGATGCTGAACTAATAGTAGAGACTGACCAGAGTACACAACTATAGACCAGAAGAGGGATATTGAACTTTTATACATAGGATGATTGGTTTTACAGAGTTGATATACAAGATCAAAATGACAAATAGCGTATTATCAAAACGTCGCCATCTACATGATTCGTCCATATTCAAGAGGTAGAAGAAGATACAGAGTTTGTGGAGAGGTTAGAAATCAGTCTTACTTCATACATATTCTCACTTTCTCCTTTACCTTCAACAAAAGCAAAACAGCAAAAAAGCAACTTTTACAATTCAGAAATCAATTTTAAGAATTGAGAACATGAATGGCGAAGGATTGATGAGCTATTACTTACCAACTTCTGCAGTGATGTTTGGTCCAAAGAAGGAAGTGAATTTCGCCTACATTAAAACAAAGAGTTTTATGCTTTAAAGGATCAGTTTCAGCTTTATGTGTTTCCACTTCTTAGAGACTACATTTGATGAAATCAAATCTGAATTAACCTATGCTCCTATGCGATTGCTCATTGATTTAGTTTATGAAATTAACTCTTACCTGTCTTTGTTCGAAATCTGACAACTTCAGAGCTTTGGCCTCAAATACAAGGACCAAACAGTAACGACCATCGGTCAGGACCTGCGGACATGAGTTATTGAAGAATAATCTGGTTAAAAGTCTAGTTTCATCGGTCAATATATGTTGAATTGTTTAATAATAATGATGTAAAAATCATGGACAAGAAGAAATTTACCTCTTCCCTTATCATCGTTAAGATAGGTGCACTACGTCTTGGGATTCCTCCGCCCTAATGCCAAAAAAAAAGTCGAAAGAGCGGTTAAAGCGGATGTACAAACTGTGTTTTTGTTTCATTTTGTTTGAATAAAATAGCTTACCAGTCCATATTGAAAGATCCGTTTTAGTGCTTCTTCCAAATGTTGTTCATCTCCATAGCGGTATCTCGTGACATCACTTCTAACCTAACAAAAGCAATAAGAAGCCAGACACATATACGATTCACGACAAGTAAGTTTAACATCCAATTGCACTGGCTTTGGAGAACAGACTACAATTTCATGTCATTTAGGCAGAAGAAACTAAAACGAACTTTTATGTAAGCAAGACCCTTCTGCAAGTGAACATACACCTAGATTATGAGTTTGATAGGCAGAAAGAAACTAAAATGAACTTTTTAGTTGCAAATGAAATCAAGCTAGCTTTTAGATTGCATTTCCATATACTAGCAACGAACACCTAGATTATGAGTTTTAAGTTCTAAATTTTTTTGAACATTTATGTCATAGAGAAGAGATGAAGAATTATCTACATTCAGAATGAAGAGAACTACTAAGTACCTGCGTTAAAATAGGAGTAGCGCAGCTTTCCCTAAGCTTCACGGCATCTGAGTAACTCAAGCAAGGAACTGGTCTGAGTTCTGCGTACTGCAAAGGAACCAAAACAGATTCATAGGGCATTCTTAAGAAAAGAAAAAACAAAGAAAGAAACTAAAGAACTCTAAATACACAATACAGTTAATCCAAAATAATTCACTCTCATAGGGACATGAGAGTAAAAAAGATAACTGGAGAGCAAAAAGCATATACCTTGAGTGCCATTCCGATTATAGCAAGAGGAAATCCATACGTAAGCATTATAGCAGACCACTCAGATCCAGGCAAGATGTTAAAATACGCTCCGAAACCGTACCTTTAAGATACAACACAATCCATAATGTAAAAACTCACACTTGACTATATAGCAACGAAGAAGGTATGAAAACAAACTCACGAGAGGAGCGAAACCCCGAGACTTAGCCCAATAACACCAAATGAAATCTGCAAAATACAAAGCAGATGCAATTTTTTTTCTCAGTGTGCAAAATGTTCCAACACACATTATATAAACAAGCATCTTAGTTATTGTAGTGATTTAAAACCATATACAGTAACAATCTTCTGAGGTTTTAACAGAATTTTTTTAGCAATGAAACGAGTTTCCTGATCTTTTGCTATATGTTCCTTAATTATCATCAGAATCTATAATTTTGCATCAGGATGTGAATTTGCATACATCAAATCCTGCCTAATTCTCAATTTCAGATCACTAAATCTCACAACTTCACCGTAAAATTCACTCGCTTCCTAAAATTGAACAAGACAGTGATTGTTGCACGAACAAATAATCATTTCAACACAGTGAATTTCAAGAGATTCTTAAATTAGGGATTTAAAAAAGTCGACAACGATTATGACCTTAGCTAGAGTGAATTCTTCATCGGGGATTAAGGTTTTATCACCGGAAGCCACGGAAGGAGACGAGCTCGTGGAATCAGCAGCTCCGGCGACGAAATTCATCCTCAGAATCTCTCTTCTCAACCTCGTCTCGGTGACGTTGAGCCATCTCTGCCGCGGCATAAGAAACGGTTGTGAAGACGAGACGACGGATAGATTCTCATGGCGACGGTCGTACAGACCTGATCGCTGGTTGTTGTGGCGACGGAGATTGGAGGATAAGACGGTGGTTCCCGAAGCTGCCGATATGGATCCCATTTCTCTTCTGTGTATCTGATTGTGAGGCTGAGGGATAGTGGTCAGGAGTTCAACTTTCAACCGCCAAAATTCTGGCCACGATTACTCCATTCTGATTTCGGTTTGCATAAACCGGCAAAGCCATTGAAAACCAACCGGTCAGTTTGGTTCGGTTATGGAGAATTCGTGCCGGTTTTTATTAAACCAATGAATGGGCCGTTTTTACTTTCAGCTTTATATGTGCCTCTCTTCTCATGACATGTGGGGCTCGATTCACCCATTCTACCATCGGTTTTCTAAAACCGGATCAATTGCTATTCATCTGGTTATTAAAGAGTGGAAGTCAATGACCCAAAGAAATTGGCCGGTTTCAATCTCCATATACATGAACCAATTGATACAAGACCCACACAGAACAAAAATTGAAAAATATAATAAGTATAAGAATATTGTTGTAAAATCTGTTCACATTCAGAAATGTATAAACCTTACAACAAAAGTCTCATGAATAAGAAAGTTTGAATGGTTTTTTAACACAAAAAAAGTTACAAACACAGAGCTTTTAGGTTGTTCAGAAATGAAGTTAAAACAACAACAACAACCAAAAAAAAAAAAGTTAAAACAACAAGTCATATAATGCAACATCACTACTCCTCCGACTCAGGATCAATAGTATTTGCTGTCTTCTTTGTTCGACGACGCCTTCTCATCATCCTACAAAAAAATAGGATGCAAAAGTAGAATTGAGATTCAAAAGCAGAATATGCAAACCCATAAACAAATAGCATTACTTGAAGTAGAGTTCCATGCAAAGAAGTTGTTTGACTCATATTGTTAGATGCTTTAGTCGCAAGTTTTGTATATATCAATCAAGCAACTTTAAAACCTAAAAAACCCTAATAAATTTATAATCTAATGAGAGAGGAGATAATAAATTATTTACTTTTTGGACTTAGCGATGATGAACTCCTCTATCTCTGGTTTCTGCTCAGAGGTAAACGCAAACCACTTGTCTTGAGAAGGTACTTCACAGAAGCTTCCTAAATCTGCACACAAACAAATGAAGGTGATTAAAGTTGATATAACTCTTCTTCAAGACAAAGAAAAAGAGTCTGTATGTTTTTTTCATATACCTTGAAGCAAAATATTAGGTTCTTCATCTTTGTACGATTTCAACTTCCAGAGAACAAGACCATTCTCATGATCCACTTGAACCGAGTTGGTTCTATGAGGATCATCATAGTGTAGATTCTCTGTAAAAACAAAATTTAGAATAATAAGCATCTAAACATAATGATCATTGTTATAAAATAATCACATTAGTTTAGAAATTTGTACTCTTACCTTGCATTACTGATGCGTTATGTAATTCGGCAAACACTTCTTCAGTTTCAGCATCCATTTTCCTTAGAATCAAAAGCTTTTGATCATCCGTCAGCGGAATCTCATTGTTCTCCGATTCACCTCTAGCCAACTCATCTTCTTTCTTCTTCTCCAATTGTTTTTTCCACAACAAGTAAGGGTTTAGAATGAAAGTGTTTTTTAAATTTAAATTGTAGACATTTAAAGTAGATTTTACAGTTACCTTATATGTTCCATTTTCCTTTCAGCATATTCAGGGTTCTCAATGCAGCTACTCATTACCCTGAAAAGATTTATTAAACCCTCAAGCACCATAAACAATTATTAAGGGTGTATGTGAATGTATGTGGAAATGGTCTAAATATATTTATACGTGACCTAAACTCCTCTTTTGCATCTCTGTATAAATATGTAACTATTTCATTCTAATAAGATTAACATATTCAGCATCTATATGGTTCCAAATTGATTGATATTCAGTATATGTATAACACTATCAACTTACGTTGTGCTAAGGGCTTCACCACATAGGAAATTTAATAGCTTGAGCCTTTTGGGATGGATCCAACTCATCATACGCATGCTTGCTATCTTTAAACATTTCAGGAGTCAAACTATCAAGCTTGACTACTGATTTTGCAAGACATTCCTCGATAGCATTGAGCCAATTCCCATCGTTTTCACTAAAACAAACTGATCTGCATTATTTATTATTAAAAAAAAACTGAAATCAATCATAAATGTCAAGATAATGAAAAAATTAAATACCTTTTCATAAAAATAAAAATAAACAATTTTTACTTTTTTTCCCGAGTCTTTTACTATCACAGTCAGTAATTGGATGATGATTTCGGTGAACGTAGAGTGCAGTATATCCTTTGTGCTTACGCCGGATAACACTTCACGTACGACACTTTCAGCTTGTCCTTCCTTCAGATCAAGAACCTATCCTCGAGAATTCATATCATGCAAATAAGAGCCATCAGTTTGATACGAGACAATGGTTAGGGTTGGTTAGGGTGTTTTCGTTATTGAGTTTTGGTGTTTTCTTTTATGAATTAGGTTGTACAGGGTTTTTTTTTTTTTTTGCATTTGGTTTATCATTAAATTGTACTAAGGTTTATACTGTATAAGGGTCTCTACAACTAATGAGAAATCAACTTCCAAAAATTAACGTTAATCTCAAAGAGAGACTAGGATTAAGAGGGAGCTTAGCCTAAATCTTCAATCTCTTTCTAACATGAACCAATTGTTCATATGATCTTACACCCTTTCCGATATACAAAATTTCAATGTTAAAGTTGACAATACCTTTCCAAAAGCTGAACAGAACTCCAAGAACTGCAACACATTCCCAGCATGTTGAGGAGGCAAGTCAATGCCAGAGACAACAATTGATTCAATGCCCTGAGGTAGCTTAACCTCCTCCTTCATCTCGACAATAGCACTGTTTTTTTCAACATGATTCTCTTGGCCAAGGCTTTGTGGTGAAGCTATAGCCTACAGAGACAATAAAATCAAAACAAGACTCAAAGCTAAGATGCATACAACAAGAATCTCTCTTAGACTACAGAACTTACCGTTTTAGCCTTACTCTTATTGACATGTTTGCCAACATCCTCAGATTTCTCAAGATACTTAGAGACATCGTTGAACTTTTTTTTTTTAGATATGCCTACCATACGTCCAGTAGCACTTTTACCAATTTTCTTTCTGAATTTTTTTTTTTTAGATTACAAAAATTACGAAATGAGCTCTAAAACCATATAATCATTTTGCGAGATTCAATGTAATAAACGATTTTGACTTACCTACAATGGCTACAATTACAAATGCCCTTACATTTCGGACAAATCCAATTCTTGTTCGTCGCCACTTTTTCAACGATCTCTTTATACCTATAAACCATAACACAATCACTAAAGAACATAATTAACATTTCTTCATTACACAACACAAAAAAATCTCAAAATATCAAATTGGACCTGTTCTTTAAGCACGGGGAACATAACATAAGATGACATGTACTGTTTCGTTTTTTGGTTATGCAACGTCCATAACAAAATCTCTTTTGACGACACTGCAACACAAAGATCATTGATTCAAACATTAAATGTAGTACTATAAATGTTTACTGTAATCCATAAAATCAAATTCAAATACCATTAGTATACCAAATCTGATCAATACAGTTAACAGTTTCTTTTGTCATGGTTAAGATTCAATTTTCATTGTGTGATTTCAAAACTAAAAGTCTTAAAACCAACATGTGCCACAAGAAAAATCTTCAAAATTCAAATCATTCAATGTTATGTCTCACTTGGTGACTCCATAGAAGATCGTTGAGTAAAGAAATAACTCTAATATCATAAGTGTTTACATGCAATCCAAAAAATCAATTAAAATACAATGAATACACTCAACCTAATCAATATTAACAAATTTATTGTCATGATTAAGATTCAATTTCATTGTGATTTCAAAACCAAAACCAACATATACGCCACTGACAAAAATCTCCAAAATTCAATTTGGTGACTCCATAGAAGACCGTTGACTGAAGCAAGTGTTCACACAAAATTCATAGAATCAAATCAAATACCACAACAGATCTCTGTCTATAGGCAACAATGAATACAAACACTAATCAGATCAATTTCAACCTAATTTAAAATCCCAATTAAAAGAAAAAAAAAAATCCAAACAATATAAATGAAATTTTCCAACCTGGTGACAACCTTTCTAAATGGCGTAACCTTCGATACTTGCCGCAACAGCAGGAACAGTAGGAGTGTTTGTTTCCCCAACCTGGTCATTGCTCTCACTGGCGACGACAGGAACATTAGGATCGGTTCGGGATGATGTAGCCTCTATGATCTGGTTGGTGATTTCTGACGCCATGACGAGAAGCTGGACCAAAAATCTCTGACAAAATCTATTAATCTTGAGGAAACTAGATTATGATGGGTGTCTGAGTATGGTTGTCTGCTTCGGATATTATACAACTTTTGAGACTATTTGAAGATAAGGGAAATCTTAAAAATTAGATTTCTTTCCTTATATTTTTGCTACCTGTAATTATTTGGAAAGAGTGTAATGGCGCGGGAAAGGGTTTTGACTTGTGAGTGTGTGTTTTTTTCTCAGGGGGTGTCTCCGCACATTTCATTTTTCTTTCGCTATCATTATTGACAGTTTGACACGTGTGTGTTGATTCTGATTCAAATTCTGATGCTGATGGTTGGCGACGGCGGCGTCGGAGACACAGAGGATTGTTTCTTTAATTGGCTGCCAAAATCTCAAGTTTCCACATAGGATCTAATGGTACGGTCATCTGCAATCTCTTAAGACTATAGTGCCAATTTATTGAAAATTAACAGCTCGATCTGAGGTATATAGATTTGAGTGTAACTTTAATCATGCTTGGAACTGATGATTATTGTGTTATCACTTATCACTTTTAACCCCTAATTATGTGAAGACGGTGTCTTTTAATTGTCGAGTATTTGTTTGGTGTATCCGTAACTAATATTTTCTATATTCTTTTGTAATAGGGAGTCACTTGAGGAATATAATAATCTTCTCCAACCATCGAAGCTGTGAAGCTGATGATTTAAAACATGAGTGTGACAAATTTGTAAATAAATGAAAGTAACTTGACT